CTGTCCTTCCTAATTCCTCTCAAACTGTATGAGCATAGCTAAACAATACTATTGGCTTGATAAACCAGATTCTTGGGCAATAGAGCTCCATCGTCAGTTTCCCCAATGTTCTCCAAAGTGTGGTATCCCCTTCGTATAGAATAAACGATCAAATACAGTAGCATTACGAAAACAGCCGAGAAGTTTTTTTGCTGCACAACAATGCTGTCGCTTTCTTGGAATACTGTCGACTTCTCGGAATGCTGTCGACAAAGAAATCAACAACTAACACACAATAGTTCCTCTTACGCTCAAACCTCTACTAAAACATTTCCACTGACTCGCAACCTCTCTATATATAAAGCTCGCAGTCCCTATAAAATAAGCCCCAATAAAACGACAAACAGACAAACAGAACTCCTAAATGTTAATAAGAAAAATCACATCAAGGAAAATCAACGAAACGAGGAAGCCTGCGAGAGCTCGTCCAAGAGTGGGTCCTAGGACGCTTTTCATACTGTAACATATTTTCGAACGAGCGAAATCTCCGAACTCTAAATTTTTTCGGTTTGAGCTTGGCATGCCTTAATTCGTGATTCGTGAGTTGTAAAGCGCACAGCTTACTTTGAAAAAAACTTTTTAGAAGATGGGAGCCGATGACAAGAGGGTTCGGATCAAAGTTCTTCAGGTGTCAAATATATCAGTAACGGCGACAAAGGATCAGATCTTTACTATGTTTCAATATGTAGGAAGAATCGAAGAGATGAAGGTGAGTGCTGCTATATGATGACATTCGATTTGAATGCACAGAAGTGGGGTAATGTTTAAAAGGAAGGAGTCCATTCCCATGTGAATAGAAATGGGAGGCTTGGTGCATTGTGAGCATGGATTTTGAATTGGATACGTTAAGATAAATTCGAGTAGTCAGAGTGTCATGGATTTCGTGACTAACGAGTACAAAACTATTGGTTTATGGGCGTCTGATAACTGTAATTGTTCGGTGTTGGAGCTTTCATATTATATCCCATTTTCCTGAGCCATGCTCATCCGTCCATTTGGCGTACTCGTAAAAAATCTGACAAATTTTTTAGTAAGTGGGTATCGTTTCTCCCATGTTGGCCCAAGGACACATATAAGACGAAGTGGTTTCAAAGTTTAAAACGAATCAAATGCGCC